AAGAAACCAAACAGAAAAGTCCTGGCCCTCAGACTGAACCAGGTGACCTCTCGGAGGAGGCGCCGGGCTGACCTTAATGTGGAGCACCTGTCGCCGCCCGGGCCAAAAGTCCTTATTTGCGAGAGACAATAAGGCAAATTTAAGAGCGCCGGCCCCTCGGGTGGTGTAAATAATTCGGTCGGCCTGGAAAACTAGAGCCTGGATGCTGCATTTCTCCCCCCCGGGGCAGCCGGCCATTCGGCACCCACCTGCTACCCGGCGCGGGGGCCCTTTGGAGTTCACCGTGTGATATGTACACACACACAAACACACACACACCGAGCTCCTGGCCATTTACCCATCAGCCTGGGTGCACACACACACACACACACAGCCAGACCAGTCTGGACACATCTGGCTGCAGCCAGTTAGCAACCAACCGGTCACAGAGGTCGTGGCTGGTCGGGGGTGGGGGGATTAATACAATTTCAGCCAAGATCTGTGGCGTGCGTTTGAAAAACGGTGGTGGCAGAACAGAAGTCGGGTGAGAACCGAAACTACCTCAACCTGCAGCTGGGTTAAGAAAAGAAAGTCCCCTTTCCTTCTCGCGTGTCAACAGGAAGTCTGACTCGCTTGTTTTGGACCGAAGATTCAACGAAGCGCAGAAGATGTCGCAAAGTGCGCTTCAAGAGAAGCAAAACAAACCAAAGGGCAACGGGGCCTGAAACACACGGAGCCGAGAAGCAGACCCTGAGGGGCCTCCATCCAGAAGCCCTCTTTGTGTCAATGAGAGAAACCCTTTTAGGATCCTTTTATTTCACATAGAAGTGCTCAAAAGACAAATCGAGGCCAAATTAATTGTCCGTTTATAGTTTTGGAACACTTTTTAAAACAGTTAAAAAGCTAGTAATGTTTTCCTCGGTGAGAAAACGCAATAAATGGCTCTATCTCCAGATCATCTTAAGAGGTTTAAATGATAAGAGAAGCGGACGAGGTTTATATAGGCAAACGCTCAAGCTCAGCCTACGCAATGGGTCTGATTGTAAAAAAAAGAGAAAAGAAAAGAAAGTCAATTCAGAGGCATGGCAGGTTCGTGGGGCCTCCGTCCAAAGGGGTGAGAACTGGGCCGGGTGGGGATCTGGATGTTATTGGGATCCGTATCCCGGCTGAGCCCCCGTGTCTGGGCTGCCTGCTCTCTCTCTCACGCGCCGACGGCCCGACCACGAAATAAAAAAAAAAAGCCCGGGGGGGCAGCCGAGCCGTTTTCTCAAAAGGTCTGCGGAAACTTGGCCGAGCGGGAGGGTGAGACGGGGCAGATCTTTAGCTTCAAAAAGCTCAACGCGCGGCATTTACGGTGGGAATAGTTAGGGTGAGTTAATGAAACATTCCTCACCCTGCGCACCGGGTAGGGTGGGGGGGGGGGGCTTTTTCCTGAAGGAGAAGCGTTTTACGGCCCCCAGCAGGTGGATGATTCACATTGCTGCGTTGCAACGAGCACGAAGTACACGGTGATTCACACCTTTTCTAAGATATACATAAAGATGTATGGGAGCCTGAACCGGTTTCTAACACACCCTCACAAACAGGATTCACCTCATTTTTCTAAATCGGAATCAAAGCTGGATTTATTCGAAATGTAGCTCTGTTGTCATATCATTCCACCAATTACATATAAACAATAACTTTCTGTTATCTTATCTCAACTCCTTCACTTCACCTCTTTTATCTTAACCTGCTTTCCTAGAAGCACAAAGCACTGGTATTCCATCTTGATTTGGGCAAAAAAATGTTTTTGGAAACAATAAATGCCCAAGGACAAATACTTTCTGATTTTATACCCTATTTCTGATAAGCTTGCTTAAAAAAAAAAAAAAACTAAATTAATTCATATATCAATTACTTAAAATGCTGACGATCCAGTGTGGAAACTGGAGTATCTCTCATGTGAAGG